CGCACAGCATAAGCCCACTACCAAACGCTATTTTAAAATGGGGCAAATTAACAAGCAATTGTTAAAACAAAAGATAAAAAAAAATATTGCAAGAAATAACTTTTTCTGTTGACTTTGATTTGTATTGGAATGAGGAGACTTCAGTCAAAAAAAGAAAAAATACATTACTAACTGTCGCTAATTTTAAGCGACTTCTTAGAGAACATGTTCAATTGATTGTGTACCAAGGAGTACATGCTTAATAATAATGGGGGAGTTAGGATACTATCTCCATTTAGGTACGTGAAAAATTGTAAAATAGGGAAAAACAAACATTTTGTTGTGACTAGATTATGTTTTGTTGTAAACACCGTTGTGTCCAGGATAGTATCGTACTTTGTACCGTCTAATTAAACATGTGAAGTTAAACAAACAAGGAAAGTCTAATTCAATAACACTGTATTTGCGTATTGGCGGATGAGATCGTCCCAAGAACTGGACGAACATAAATAATGCGCATAATAGACTAGTTCACAGTAATTATTATAGGCTCTTGAAGTTAAAAGTTACATAAAGTACTGATTTATTCCTTTGATTTAAACTAACTCTTTTTTCCCCATACTTTATCCGTTTGTAATCTGTAAGACGCTAGTTTGCTGATGTAATAAATAGTAAAAGCTCATCGCGGGTAAGTCTAAGTCTCTCTCTCTCTCTCTCTCTCTCTCTCTCTCTCTCTCTCTCTCTCTCTCTCTCTCTCTCTCTCTCTCTCTCTCTCTCTCTCTCTCTCTCTCTCAGGAGTTGAATTAAAATAAACCCAAGTTTACTATTTTGCGTATATTTTCAGTTGGTATTTATCAAGAATTCATCGTTTTTACAAGTGAAGTCACAGAAGAGGATTTAGAAAATAACTCAAAATGCGCCGATTTTTCTTTGTGTTATATAATGCTTGACGCACTTTGAGCAACTGTCGTAATTTAAAAAAAAAACAAATAAATAGTAAATTAACCCTTTTCAACGCAAATGTATTTTCATTCAGAGCAAAAGAAAATATCACAATGATTGTGACTTGACTTGTTTGTAAGATACCATTCGAAATCCCGAAGTCAAATTATTGGTAAAATACTGTGTATTGGAACAGCTAAGACGACTTGAATGATTTTTTTTTTCACAGAGCTTGATTTTGAATATACAATCGTGGTTTCGTTACACTGGAATGATACACATCAATGAGCAGATAAAGCTTAACTTTCAAAAGAGGTAATTTTTATTGGGACCATGCTAACTGTGAAACAAAATAATCAACATATACTCGTAAGTATTATTCATATTACTATTTCATACATAATAATAACTTTATATGTATTAACACAATTTAGTTGTCAATGTCAGTACAGATAGTTACACATTTATCCTTTGGTCTAATTTCATAAAAATATATTATGTATTAAATTTATTAATGCATCCATGGTGGATTTATCGGGAAAGGAAAGGGGTAAAATGACTCTAGTCATATAATATATATATATATATATATATATATATATATATATATATATATATATATATATATATATATATATATATATATATATATATATATATATATATATATATATATATTCTCAATCTTTCTCCAACATCACATTCCATAAGGTTGACATATCCGACAAAATGAAGTTAGTGTCTGCTTTAGTCAAAATTACTTTAAATACGGAGTCAATCTATCTTTAAATTTTGAGCCTTTCTGACGCAAAACAAATAAACTACACACTGAGGGCTGCATGTTAGCTTTATCTAAAACATTATATATATATATATATATATATATATATATATATATATATATATAAATATATATATATATATATATATATATATATATATATATATATATATATATATATATATATATATTGAGAAAGTAATCACTCTAAATTTTGTAATTTTAACCATACGCATCTCACTCTCACCCACACACCCACTTCTCTTCGTTTCCCATTGACTCAGAGATTCAACAGACTGGTATCAAAAGTTAGTTTGATTTAACAATATTGTGGAAGTAACATTGAATATTTGTGCTAAAATACTGGGTGTACTTGACCATTATGTTGCACTGTGATACAAAAATATACATGCCTGTAACACTATCAATGATGGGATATTAAATTTTGACTAATACGCAAGATTAATAGAATACCACCCGTACTTTTTCAGCACGAAGATGAAGTAGCTCTTATGACTGCATAGATCGAATCTCAAGTAAAATGAAGATATCCGCAAAACGGGTAAGAAATGTATTATGACCTCTGTGTATACTAACGTAAAGTGACCTCTATTGAAAATAATGTATCGTAGCCTGTTTGGAAAGTAAAGTATCGTGACCTCTATGGAATGTAAGGTATCGTGGCCTATGGAAAGTAAGTAAGAATCATTCAGCCGTATCATTAATAGGTCACATTGACTTAAATTTCAAGACTGACTTCTTTTTGAACTCTCAGTCATTCCTTTGTTTACAACATGAATATCCTGAATCCTATTTCAATTTCAGTCATGAGAATTTTATGTCGAAACATCTCAGGAAAGAGCAGCTAAACCGCACAAAACTTCGGGCACTGTGACATAATTTTAAACATAGTATTTTGGACCGTTTTTTCGATACATCCTCATTATATGAGCTCTATTTTACTACACTCAACTGCATCCAAAGCACTCGGTCCCACTACACTCAAAACATTGATATTGGTTTGATGAGAACGATGTTTGTCATACAGATACTTCTGAATGAGAAACATATGCTAGAGAGGGCCTGTTATAAGACGGCTCTTCATTATCTACAACAACATGAAGTGGACTGTCCAATGCAAACTCGCTGAGTTGCAAGACTCATGGCTAAGCAAATTTCAGTCCTACACAGAAAGAAAAAAAAAATGCCGTCAGGAATTTCTAGAACGCGTTGAGGACAATCGACGAGTCTGAATCATTAGGAACATCTCCAATACTGAGTGCTGACAGGTCCATACTTCTCACTGACAAAGGATATACACGTCAAAAGATGGGTAGAACACTTCAATAATATCCTAAATCAATAGTCATCTTCAGTTAAGATGGAAGTGGTCATCTACTCCAAAAGTGTAAATCAAAATAACACTTGCTGATCCTCTAACGGTAAATGAAGCTGAGAAACCAATTGACCTGCTGTCTAATGGTAGACCATATGGAGTAGATCTATCAGATGTTATACCAGCAAAAGTCTACAAAGCCAAAGGCACGCATATGGTACAGAAACTAATTAAACGCTTACAGTCAATGAACCGCTCTGGTGGCCTAGTGGTTTGATCCCCGGTCTTACAAAAATGGTAATAACAGCTTCTTCGCTTTGCGCTTATCATTAAGAGGTTAGTATCAGAACTGGTCAGCCTGGTGTCAGGATAATGTGACTGGGTGGGACATCATGTTACATGTCTGTGGCATGATGCGCCAGTGCTAGACATCACTGTAAACTGCCACACTCCAGACAACGTAGCGATATGACTGAAAAATTCTTAAAGCTACGTTGAAAATCATAATCACATCACATCACATCACATCAAGTCAATGAGGACACAAGGAACTACACCATAAGAGTACAAGGATGAATCCATCGTTCACTTGGACAAGCGGAAATCCAGTCAATGAGGACACAAGGAACTATACCACAAGAGTACATGGATGAATCCATCTCCAACTTGGATAAGCGGAAAGGCAACAGACAATCGTGCGACAACCATCAGGGCATATCCTTGCAAGTAATAGCCAACAAAATCCTCACTAGAATTCTGCTCAGTCGCATATATAATCACATCGATATAGGCCTTCTGACTGAGAGTCAGTGTGAATTCATGAAATGATGAGAAGCCAGGTCACGGTGTTTGCAGCTCGTCAACTCCAGAAGAGATGCCAGAAACAGAATTCCAACCAATGCATGACATTCATCGAACCGACAAAAACTTTTTACACACTCAACCATGGGGGACTTTGGAATATCATGGCAAAATTGGCTCCCAGAGAAATTCATCGTGCTGGTTATGCAATTCCATGATGGAATACTCGCGCTTGACATGGACGACTGAGAGTCATTTGAACCATTTCCAGTCACCTATGTCAAGCAGGGTTGTTCTCTGCCATGCTTACTGATGTGTGACTATGATACTGGTGTCAGATACCGGACTAACAGCAAGCTCTTCAATCTGATGAGATGATAGGCGGCGAAAAAGTTAAAAGAAGTGACTGATCGTTGTCTATTATTTTCTGACGTCTTTTCCTTGAATGATCATGACTATTCAGCTTGTGACAATTTCGGTCAAAATCAGAATCAAGAAGACGGAGAGGATGTGCCAGCTTGTACCGGAATAGCCTTGCCTAGAGTCTTCCATCACAGTAAATGGCCAAACCCTTTCGGCTGTGGACAGGTTCACCTATCTCGATTTCTCACGTGAAGTGCATATCGACCAATCAACACCAGAAGTGCTAAAGCAATTCTGGCCTTTGACAAACAATGCACACATATAGGGTTGCAGAGGCATCAGACTTCAAAATTGAATTTAAGGTCGACAAAGCTATTGCCGACCTTGCTTTATGTATGCGAATCCTACTAGGCGATGTACAGACGCCATGCCCAAACGTTTAGCCATTTTCACACTGTTACCTGAGGAAACTGACGAGGAAAAGACGGCAGGACATAGCCCACGCACTAAAGTTCTCACCCAGACGGGTATTTCATGCATTCACACCCTGCTGATGAAATCACAGATGAGATTGGCAGGCCACGTCATCATTATATTCGAAGAACGACTATCAAGGAACGGCCTGAGCTGAAGAAGAGAAATCAATCTCAGGATGGGCAGAATAAACACTTAAAAGAATCCCTCGTCATTCTTGAAACACTTCAACATTAACCCTGAGTCTTGAGATCTCACACATGATCGCTAAACCTGAAACAGTCTCATCTATACTGGAGCTATAGACTTAAAAATTGGGAAACCGCTCCGGTGGCCTAGTGGTTAGAGCGTCCGCCTCTGATGAAGGAGGTCGTGGGTTCGACCCACGGCCGAGTCATACTAAAGACTTACAAAAATGGTACCAACAGCTGCCTCTCTTGACGCTCAGCATTAAGATGTTAGTGTTAAGACTGGTCGGCCTGGTGTCAGGATAATGTGACTGGATGGGACATCATACTACATGTCTGCGGCATGATGCGCAGGTGCAAGACATCACTATAAACTGCAACAAAGCAGACATCGTAGCGATAAAATTGTTAAAGGTACAATAAAATTCATAATCACATCACATCACTTTAAACTGTGGTAAGTTTCAAAGACAGGGTCAGTACAGAAGTGCAAGCAGCTTAAATCCCATAACTGCATTACTTCATATGTTGATCAAATAAACTCAAGCAGTATTTACTGTCAAGCGTGCCTAATTCAGTTCAAAATACATATTGTCCCGATCAGCCACTCACGTTCTCGTATAAACCGAACCAGTTAGTAATGTCATGGTCATTTTTGAACTTGAAGGACGAACAACATTATACTTGCCCCTACACTCATGTAATTTGGTATGTGGATACTTACCATACTATAAATAGGTCACTGTACCGAATTTTTCACGCTTAAGACATGTTTTTTTTGGTACAACCTTTATATATATATATATATATATATATATATATATATATATATATATATATATATATATATATATATATATATATATATTACCTGCATACATTGAAATTGGTATGTGGATGCCTCTTAATGAGAGTAAGTTAACCACACTAAAAACTAAGTCCATATTGCTTTGTCTGTTCATGATTAAGTGGAACATTTCGCCATTCATTTTTTGTACCTTTTATATTTTAGCACTATCACGTCTAAACTAATTCAACCTTGTTTCAACACTGATGAAACTTTGTTCATGGATGAATATTTTCTTTCTTCCTCTTGGTTGCTGAACCTCTAGCTAAGACGTACAATAATTTGGCAGGCGATAAGATTTCCTGTCTAGACCTGCCTTTAATCAGCTATCAAAGCATATCCTGGCAATATTGTGTCATTCCCAATGCCTCAGTTTCTATCTTACATACCAGCTCTCATGGCGCAACTCTTTGTAATGTTGTGTATTTCCATTTCCGCAGTTTCTTTCCAGCAAGTGGAATATTGTTGACTATTCTTAATATGCTTTGTTGTTAGGAGTATTCGTGTTTGCGAGTAAATACAATTATTCAACAAACATCATTATAGATTTTGATTATGATTTTACGCAATCTTTCATTAATGCAATGAACATGTGGGATAAACTATATATGTGTCTGTGCGTGTCTCTGTTATTACAGATGGAAACCGTAATATAAAGTTGAAACACAACATCTGTATTCTGCTGCTATTAACAAGAACAAAAATAACAAGAACTAGAAAAAAGCAACAAAAGGAACAACAACATCAATAATAATAATAATAATAATAATAATAATAATAATAATAATAATAATAATAATAATAATAATAATAATAATAATAATAATTGATATGTCTTTTGTAAATCTCTTTAGCCCATATGTAAATTTTTAAAATATAATTCTCTATTGATTAAATAGCGTACATAATATAACAGGATGTTTATTGTTGTTGTTGAAAAAGGAATGAAATTATATTACCACTACAATCAAATATTTCAACCCTTAAGTATTTTGTAAGTTAATCTAGACGACACCTTTTCCTTTCATTTTTTTAAAATATTCCGTTTCTTTTAAATCTCTTTATTTGATGCACAAATTTTCAGGGCAGATATATTTAAAGGCTGAGTTTGACGGAAATATTGAGTAAGATTTAAATATTCTATAGACTGGTTTACAATTGTTTCAATCTTTTTTCAGGTTTGTTTCAAATGCACACTCTGTATTTTGATTATTTGTATATGGACTGTATGGTTAACAAGGCATGCGTGTTCTCCAAATATAAGAATAGAAATTGTGTCGAAAGTCAAAACACGAACAAATGAAAAAGCTGATGAACTAAATCAGTTTGAAGACGACGTATTGAGGAAAGATGGAAAATTAGCTCACTATATGGATAAATTATTCAGTCTTATGTTTGAGGAACCAGACTTTTCAAAGAAATATCTTGTGTATCAGTACGATCAAAGTTTAAATAATATCGGTGATTTCTTTCCCGGCGCTATTACTGGCTTTTTGATCTCCATTTTGTCGCAGCGGTCTTTTGCAATCAAAGAAACAAGTGGGTGTTCTCATCTTTCTTGGTTTGAACCACGGCTTATTAGTTGGGATGTCAAAGAAGAAGATTTAAGAGGTTTGACGTCAAGCAGACATGATGTGAGGATGATGACAAATTTCAGACAGCAGCTCGAAAATTACAACTTCGACGAAAAATTCATTCAGGACGTTATTTACTTTGTAGTTGAGGAAGAATTCATTGCTGAAATTCGACGTCACTTCCGTACTTTTGACACAATGCCCTGGATTCTAAATATGGCTCACAGTGATATAATACGCATTGCATTGTACGGTTTGTTCCAACCAAGCGAAGTTCTTGTCAAAAAGGTAAATGAAATATTCCAACCGTACAACGAATTCAATCACCTTGTCTGCCTCCATGCTCAAATTAATGTGGCAAAGATGTATTCTTATTCGTATTTCGACCCTGTTTGGAACTTTCTTAAGAATTACGGTAAACGAGCGAACATAACATATAACATATATATTGAAATAAACAGTGAACAGATTAAAAAAAAGGCTAAAGAAGAATTTGGTTCAACTATTGTGGATTTTGACAATTACTTTTATTTATTCAGTGACGATGGGAACAAATGTAATGAATACTTTAGAAATGTACTACAAATGACGATTCTACAGAATTGTAATGCATTAATTATAACAGATTCCCTACAAGGGAAGTACGCAGCATATATGCGCGCCTCATCGGATAACCTCTATTGTTATGTTGGCACTTCATCTGTATTCGAATGCAATAGAGACGTCCTAAAGTCAACGCTAAGTTGGGACTAAATATGTGCTTGTTGGCAATTAATATAATATCATTTTTTCATGTGTGAAAATGTATCATTGCAGCTGAATATATTTTAAATTTGGTGGATATCATGTGCTGACTTGTTTACAAATATGAAACTCAACACATTTCTAACTCAGATCTGGCTTTTTAGATAAGCGAAAGACTAATAGCAGAGGCAAAGCTTGCATAGCACCAGTTGACCTCATGTCCATGCAATGTTATCAACTAACATCATGCGATGTCATGGAAGTTTATTATACGGCAATTAGTTATTCTTAGGAACGTTACGTTTGATAGGATGAAATTGTGTTGTTTTTTGTTCTTTCTTTCTTTCTATAAGTGACCATCTTCTCTAGGCTAAACATGTATCTATAATAAACTGTAAAAATTTGATCTTTTTGTAGACTGAAACGGCAATATTTCGGAAACGTTCATTAATGTCCGTTACATTTTGAAAGAGGACGACAATAGAAATTCTCTTCATTCCATCATTTGTTTAAAATCAATGTCTTCATGCCATATAAATAAAGTTGGTTTTGATCGTCCATTTTACACAGGTTGATTTGTGTATTTAATTGTAATTTTATTATACAGTTACGTTCACAACAATCTAACGATTACATTGGAAAGTGTTATGACCTCCGCTGAGGAGAATTAAAAACAGACACAAGAAGACGCTTCTTATATTTTGCAGAGCACATTGCGGTTTGGATGTCGGTTTTGACCCAAGGATTACCACGCCTTAGTACTTCGTATTTATATGTTACTGAATTTGTATAGGAAATTATTATATGCTCATTTTTATCTCTGTTAACTTTACCGTGCAGTATTTTAAGATACTGAACGTCTTGATATTTGCAGGTACACGAACAACATGTGCCTAAAAAGTGTGTAGTGCATTAGGAACTACTTTGTAAACAAACTATGTATACTCATGCTTTAGGTTTTAGTTGACGAGATTTATTTGTGAATGAACTAAACAAGCTGTTTCTTCTATTTGAAGCATAGATGATAAAGTTAACGATGTGGACGAGTTGACTGAGTCATAAATGAAACTTTCAAACAAGCAAACGAATAAACGTGATACTCACAATGTCAACAACCAACGTGAGACGTAGTAATTGAAGATGACGTTCTGATCTTTGAAACAGTTATTTAGGACAAATATTTGCTCTGAAGGATCTTTAAAAATATAGCATAGAAAAGCATATTGAGGCCAAGAGCTATCGTATATATATATATATATATATATATATATATATATATATATATATATATATATATATATAAGAGAGAGAGAGAGAGAGAGACGTATCGTTTTGCACGTACGTCATAATACTTGATAAAAGCAAAAATACAGCCAAAAGTCAAAAGTTTTGGTAGGAAACTGAGAGCCTTACAACCAATAAGCCAGATGACGAAAATGTATTATTTCCGCTGGTTAAAATGGGTGTAGCACAACAGCTGCCTTGCAATTTTGCCCGTGTAATTATTTTTTTTACCATGTTAATCAAGCGACAGAAAACACACATTATGATAATGAGGTCCCTCCAACAGCGAGATATTAAAGGTCGAGCGGAAGGAGTGTAATTGGAAATTTGAAGCATTTGATTATTGAATTGTTATTAAATTGTTATCCATTTAATTCCAACCTTCTCTATGTTGAACCATTTAAACGTCGGCATTGCTAACTGGGGGTTCGGAGCTTTACATATATTTTTCATTAATTTAACTTCCAATTAAAATCAAGTCTATGTGGGACTTCAATAACAGTTTAAATAAAATATTGGGAACACCCCACCCTGACCACATACAGATCCCTCATAAAGAATTTTCTTTATGTGATAACATTTACCACACTGGAGTAACGCTTAGCAAAATCCGATAGAGTCATGTTGTCTACGTGAGTCCATTGGGTGTAACGCTTAGCAACATCAGACAGAAATATATTGTCTGTGTGAGCCCGTTGGGTGTTACGATTAGAAACATCAGACAGAAATATATTGTCTATGTGAGTCCATTGGGTGTTAC